GATCCGCCACTGTCCTGGTATCAAACTAGTCGCATGGTGGCAAATCTGATTCTGATTCACAAGTGTGGCGACTGCCTGTGGTGGTGACGACCTGTGGCAAACTTTGGTCAGGCTGACCTCGAGACTCCAGGGAAACACAATAACGAAGCAAGCAAAATTCCGAAAAAAACTGGTATCCGCACAACCAGTGAAGACAGGCCGTTCGAGTATCGAAGTAAGTGAACCATAGACCTCAAAATGTTTATTCCGAAGTATTTTACACTTTACCCATTCCCACTTAATGAAGGCTACATGGAATGCTTATCAGTCAGTTAATATCAACTTTCAGGAGTATTTGGCCCAATTTACAATTACTGCAACAAATGCTACGAATATTTACATATCAAGAAATATCAAAAGAACAAAGAGCAAAGAACCTAAACATTAAAGACTAAAAACCTTTCTGCTGGCCAAAAAGTACTTACTGGATGTGGATGACAAACTCGTGCAACGTCTTCTGCAGATGCGCCATACTCCAGTGCTAACGTACCCTCAGCTATCATTTCTCCAGCATTCTAAGTTAAACAATCTGTGAACACGAAAACTATTTTCAAATATAAACATAATCTTTGAACAAGCCGCAAAGGGTTCACCATAAAGATGGATGTTCAAAAAATAACTCTCGATTTTTTTATTACGAAACACTCACTGGACCAATTATGTGTACACCTAGCATCCTATCGGTTTGCTTGTCGGCAAGCACTTTAACGAATCCTTCCGTGTCAAAGTTGGTTTTGGCACGAGAGTTAGCAACGAATGGGAATTTTCCTACTTTATATTCGACACCCTAAACATCCAAAGTTTAACAAAAAAAATTCTACTTTACCATCGAAATTTCTAGAAATAATTGCGCTTCTTAAAAAAGTTTTCAACATACCAAAAATTCTCTGCTAAACACATTCTCTTATAGAAAATACACAAGACATAAAAGTCAAACGTGATGCCCCTACAAATTTCCATGGATGTATATGAGAATTACAAAAGAGCACCTCTTGTTTCAACTGCTCTTCTGGCTTCCCTACCCAAGCAACTTCAGGATGCGTGTAGATGACGGATGGAATGCAATTGTAATCGATATGAACTGGTCCACCACAAATTCCCTCAACACATAGGATACCTAAAAGCTGGATGGCGAAACTTATCAAGAAATATCCTTTCTGACATATTCTATACGAACCATGCATTTACGGTACCTGACAACTTTTGCATTTCCTAATAAATACATAAAATTTACTCAAGTATCTTATTTCACAAGCCCGTTGCTCAGGAAACTAAACAGAGTGTGGAGAAAGCTGACTGAACTTGAGAAGACTTTAGTGTCCTTCTTCCTCAAATATATCTACTTCACTGGCATCTTCAATCACAATTATCTCACCCTCATCTTCAGCTTTATGAGCAAGCATTGGTCCTGCAATACAATCCCCAATCGCGTAAATTGATGGAACCTGCAAAATGTTTTAAACGATTAGTTATTAGTGTTCGGACGACTAAATAATAACGTGATACAAGCGCTCTTCTACGAAATTAAACGCCTATTTATGGAATTTCTACCCCCTCATCACAGACGTTCATAGAGATGAAGGACATAGTTACATACGCAAGTAAACCTACACATACGTGGATGCGATTTACAAGAGTTAAAAGTAGATTTGACACAGCAAAGACAGAATCTACGTCTTTATCCCATCTGATTCATATTTCTTTAAACTCATGGATAAAATAAACTGACCTTTGTTTGGAAGCGCTCATTCACAGGCACTCGTCCTCTTTCGTCGAGGTTGATGCTCACTGACTCTAGTCCAAGATCCTTTGTGTACGGTCGTCGACCAATACTGACTAGCAGTGTATCACATTCAAGCTGAAGATCTCTATCTATGCAAATTAAATTAAACTACTTTAAAAAAGACAAAAAATTATATTAATAATTAAGACTACTTTCTGTTTCTTCCCATCTTTTGCACTTTCCACTTCAACGACGATGTGCTCTCCATTGCTGGTAGCTCCCGATACCTAAACATGAGCGAAGTGAAGACGCACAAAAGGCAAAAAGGCTCAACCAGTTCATAAATTATTATTCACCTAACAACGTCTTCATAATGACCTGGCTAACTTGATGACCAGTACTGAAGCAGATTTAGCAAAACCATTCAAGATCTAGACCACCTCCTTGTTTCAGTAACATGATATAACACAGAGGAGACATGTTAATGGTGCAGCTACCGAACGTAAACGAACTACGCCTTGGCAGAGGGCGCGATTACAACTATGTTTCAACACAGTGTAAACATTACGGGTTGCAGTAATTTTACTTTCGCAACTCCTTCTTACGATAGTGTAAATGCATAGCCCAAAAAAAATTGGTTACATCTCCCTTTTATCACCTATGGTTTCAAAAAAAATTACAATATTAGTAAACCGCAATATCTACAATTTACTATTTCTGATTGATCTGATCTGTCATCTGATTGCTGGCATACATAAAAATCTGCTTGGTTGCAGCTCTCTACGACTTGCGGTCTTGAAGGAGGAGCGGAAGCACGACATTAAGTTCTGTGGACATCGAAGTAATGGCCCTTTGACAACTCCAGCAATATACCGTCCAATCCTGTCTACTCTTTCTTCTGGATGAGCTGCCTGGAAACTCTTCTGATAGCCAAACAAGCGCAAATCAAATAGGTTCCCTCTGCATTTAGCCTTCAGTGAACGGGATATTCTTACACCAATTATAAAGATTTTTTTGTTAATACAAAAAACACTGCACCAGGCTCATCAAAACTGATAAGGCCATATGCCTAATTTTTGTGGATCTCTTCTGGACTGCAGTAGTGAAGACCTCTCATGAGGGATAAAGGATAAACCCATCGGCGTTGATCAATCCTAAATGAAGCGCTATGTGTTCGACTCCATCAAG